TGCATCTTTTCCTCCACTTCTTTTCTTAATAATAATTACTGTATTAATAGTCACAATATAGCTATTTTTTATTTTATCTTTGTTATTATAAATAAGAACAGATGCAAAAAAACAAAACAAAAAAAACAGTAGAACAAATATAAGAAAAAACAAAACAAATAATGCATTACCTTTTTCATTTTACATCTAAACAAAAAGCATTCAAGAAAAACAAAATAATGAAATGTAAAATCCCTTTAGTGTGTTCATTACAAATAAATTGGTTATTAAAACTACAAAAGCAGTTCAATCAAGAGCAGCGAGTGATTTTTATTGTTAGATTAACATTAATGAGGCGGCCTATATTAAGACCTATTGTAATGCACAGATCTAATATAATGTTGCACATCAGATGTTTTTCCCCAAACGTTCAATTAAGACATAACAGATTATGTTTGCATGAATACTTAAATACTGTAATTCTGTGTATACTATTATAACAAACTCGTACTTCTATGAGTAATAGTTATAAATCTGAAAGTATTTTTCCTTTGGGAGGGATCTACCTACTAACTTCTCACAATACTTAAACTGGTTGAGGTTGAACCATAGAACAGACAACTGATTTTCTTAGCAGAGATATATTATGAAAAAGAAAAACAACAACAATGAAATTCACAATAATAAACCCCAAAGCAAAATAACATACCATAAACCAATTGTACAAAAAGACCCAAGAAAACCAATACAAAAATAGGTCTATATACAAAATGAACAGTTACGATATGAGCACGAAATGTTCATGTAATGAAGATGGTTATACTTATATGTCCCAGTCCAAAAGCGAAAGAAGAAACCTTGTAGAAAAGGCAGATGTAAATAGTTCTTATCCTTGTAATTAATATCCAGTTTCGATGACCCAAAGTAAGGAGATGCAATGCAGGGAAATGAGTCCTTTATATTTTCAAGATGTACCATGCAGTAGTAAATGCACCATTGATACAGCTAAAGAGGATAGGTCGAAGGAGTCCTTCTACAAACAACATATTAACAAACATTAGAATAAACCTCAAAACCATGAAATGCAATTTATACAGCCACACTGTGAATATGCATAAAAAAGGACCTAACTTTGATTTAGCATAAAACAACATGTTTCCCAATCAGGACATCTCAGTGAAAGTAAGGCTACAAACAGCTCTCTCTTCTTCTACAACCTAACTGTAATTAAACTTAGCAGAAGAGAACCATAGTGTCCCCTAATGATGGGTAGTAGAATAACACCCTAAGTAACATTTAACTGTTACACTATGTGTATATTTATCGGGTTAGCGTGCAGTCGGTAGCGCCTTTATGATGACAGTCAGCGTGAGAAACGAGCAGAGAAAAGGTAGCCTACTCCTCTCAGAAAACGTACAAATAAAGGTAATTAAACATCTACAATTATTATTTGGAGCATTGGGATCGCTAGATTTTTGTGAAAACCTCAAAATCGACTAAAATCAATATTTTTCTCTTGTTTTGCCTGTAGCTCAAAATCAGCCCGTGCACATTCCGACTCATTTTACCAGCACGGGTCACATATAATTTATTAAATGAGAAATATTTGTTACTAAAATGAATAAATAAAACAATCAAAAAACATTTGCACAAAGCCGTTTAGGTTAGTGCCCAAGTCTGTCTGTTTAGACATTTTTTTAAAAAATTTAATTCTATTTAGCTTTATTTTCATTTCATTTTTAGTAATTTTAGTATTTAAAATTTTATTCATATTTTAAACTATTTAAATTAGTTAGGGCAACATTTCTTCAACATTTTTGTTTAGGTTTTTTAAGTTTATGGTTTTTATCTAATATTTTAAGTATTTATTAATATTTTAGTTTTAATTTTTAAATGTTCAGTTTTAATTTTAGTTTAAGTTCTAGTTATTTGCTTGCCATTTTTTTAAAATAATTTTTTAATAGTTCTTTTTTTAAATTTTTTTTTTAAGTTTTGATAATATAAGTACTTCAGCTTATTCATAGTTATCTTAGCTGGTTGCCAAGGCAACATGTCTAATTTTTGTTTAGGTTTTTTAAGTTGAATTTTGTTTTCATCTAATTTTTATTTTATTTCAGATTTATTTCAGTTAACGAAAAGGATTTTAATTAGTTTTATTTTTAGTGTGCGCTGTTGATTCATGCATGTAAATATGGCCAGTAGAAAATGCAGTGAGGATGTTTCTGTGGTTTGTATATCAGGTGGTACGATGCCTCAACAGTTACAGGCCATCCAGGTTCACCCTCAAAGCAGTGACAGCAGTCCAGAGATCATCCGGACCTCCACCAGCTCCACTGGTACTTACAGCATCACCCTTGTGACGCACCGATACTGCTCTGATCAGTGACTTCAGTAAGACATCTCTTCTGTCTCTCCCACAGCAAGCCACACCGCTACGATAGTCACTTCCTCAGTGCCTTCTTCAATGGCAGGTCACATGATGTACCCCGGAGCGCACGTCATGTACGCTACATCCACCCCTACCCTTGCCGACGGGGGTCTGACTGTGCTCAACACCTTCCCACAACCACCCACTGCAATGCACGTGTCCCACACGCCAGCCCAAGACTCAGGTCAGTCAGTCACAGCTGCGTAGGCATATCGTTGTGTCAGTGTCTCGGTTGAATTGGCTTAATAAGATGCACGGATAGTCTTAGAACAACATTGAAAACTCAGAAACTTGTAAATATGCTAATTCTGACATTTTGAACGCATCGTAATTTCATTGTTACAAAGCTCTTTGTTTTGTTTTGGTCGTGTTTAGGTGCAGTTCCTCAGATGTTTCTCACGGGACCTCCTGGAACTGTACAGATCCCAGTTTCAGCCGTTCCACTACATTCGGTAATATAGCGGACAGTAAAAATACTCTCTATGTACTTTCACTCACAGTTTTCACTGGAAATGTATTGCATTTTTGTATCTGAAAGTTTCATGGGATTTGTGTGTGAAAGCAGCTTCTGAAACTGGCCTATTAATGTTCTAGTTAATAGAAAAAACAATTTCTTCATGAATCACGTCTTTTCTTGTAATAATGGATTGTTTTTTTTTTTGCAATATTTCTGCTTCACAATTTTAAGGGCCAGATTTACTAACAGCGTGCGCCAGCACAAACTGTCTTTTGCCGTTAAAATAGTACTGTCTGGATTTACTAAAGACGCGCAGTAGGAGTTTCCCTTTCAGACGCAATATTTATGGGAGGACAGTATTAAAATGAATCACGATTTACTAACGTTTGCGCTCGTCAAATTACTGGTATTTGCGCCGTTATTTAATGCTCCAAAAAAAGCATGTCTTAAAGCAGATGCTAATTTGCGCTGCTCTTGGTAGATTGTGTTGGTCATTATGGAAATGATCTGGCTGCGTCTGTGTTCTTTAATTTGAGCATCCGTTATTTAATGCTCCAAAAAAAGCATGTCTTAAAGCAGATGCTAATTTGCGCTGCTCTTGGTAGATTGTGTTGGTCATTATGGAAATGATCTGGCTGCGTCTGTGTTCTTTAATTTGAGCATTGTCAGTAAATCACCTGCAGAAATGTCCACTCCCATCGGCGCTGTTTGAATTGTGCTCTCAAACTACACTGAACAAAATTATAAACGCAACACTTTTGTTTTTGCCCCCGTTTTTCATGAGCTGAACTTTGCTGTGCCACGTTAAAAATAAAAACAGCAGTTACAACATTATAAGAAAATTTAGAGAAAATCGGTTTGTTATGAGAACAAAATGGTTTTGAATACAAATACAAATCAATTTTCTTATAATGTTGTAACTGCTGTTTTTATTTTTAACGTGGCACTGAAATGCCGCTGTAGATAACTGTATGACTGACAGTTAGGAAAGTGCTGTTTCTTCACTTTCAGCTTTGCCTGTATGCTTATGAAGATGGATAAGAGTTTTGTTTCTGTCCTTTCAGATGTTAATAAACCAGCAGGCCACCGGTAGCAGCAGCAGCACCCTCACGGAGCTGCGGGTGGTCAATCTGGACAATCCCAAAGCAGACTGACTCATGAAGCACGAGGCCGGTGTGATTGCTCACTCACACTGATTCTCCAGGGATCACTCATGCCATGCAATCAGACTGCCATTATATTTATTACTGCCTTCTCGCGGCGTGGGGTTCAGAAACCCGTAATGGGTCGTTTGAAGGATGATGGCGTCTCCTCACGGACTCGTTTTGGTGGGTAGTGTGATAATAGATGATGTTTGTTCACACGCATCTATACTTCAGGATTTCATAGAGATGTCTGCACTATCACTGCTGGGTCTTCACCTGCTTTTGCAGAAAGATGGACAATTATGTTCGCTTTCAGTAAATTCAAAACCTCTTCGCTGTACAACAGTTGAAGTATCTTCAGTTCAATCTTTCTGTCTTTTGGGGAATGCCTCTCCTGATCTGATTTGTAATTCACCTCCATACATTTTAAGATCTGTGAATCTTTTGAGGTCAAAAATCGATTCTTTCAAGAATTTATGCTGTGAAATTAGCATAGTTTTGGTATAGTTTTAATGGCGGGTTGTGTGTTATTTATCATTTTAAGGAATGTTTAACCCAGAAAGGACAATTCTGTCATCTTTTTCCATCTCTCATGTCATTTCAGACGCAAAAAAAAAAGAAAAGTTATTTTGCAGAATGTGCAAACTTTTCTCCATTTAAATAAATGGTGACTGATGCAGTCGAGCTCCAAGTCCAATTTTTATTGATTTTTTGTCATTTTTAGAGCTCAACAGCATCCATTCCTGTTTACAAGCATTGTCAGATTTGGAAAGACGTGAGAGTATGAAAATTATGAGCGAACTTGCCCTTAAAGTAATGCTAGATACTCTTGCACTGCCATCAGCACTCACTAGGGAAACTGATCTAAAGTTTGAATCCATCAGTTCTTAAACATCATGTCTAAAAATACAATTTTTTCATCCTCATCACGTTCTCTATGGCCTTTGTTACTCAATTAGAAGTTATAGGATACTCTAAAATGATCCAGTTATTTCAGTGTGCTGCTATAATTTGGATTGAAACATGATCCGTACTACAAAAATGTCAGAAAAAAGATTGCATGCCATTCCATGTTGTAATGCTGTGCCAAACTATACTGTACGTATCGATAGCTGGAGAGAATCTAGTTGTCAGAAGTCGAATTTTCTGCTTCACATGCTTTCACTTTTTATGATGCTGTAAGAGGAAAACACTGACTTGCATTTGCACTGCATGACAACGTACCGAAAACAGCAGTGCTGCGCGATCATGTCAAGTGAATAAATGACGCGGATTGTGCTCTCATGGCTTTAGTTTACCGAAATGATAAAATACGTGATGGATCTGCTACTAGGTACTAGAATGGCAAGTTTTGTTCAAAACAACTGTTGATTTCACTGAAATCGCTTAAATTAAATCAAATGTAGTGAAAGAGTTTATATGTGCACCCATATATTAATATTGTAAATGTTTTTTGTTCGTTTTTTTTCTTTAATTTCTGTCACCTTAATTATGTGTTTATTTTTCAAATATTTTTCATTTGGACATCCAAAGGGCTGTAAATCTCGACTTGTGTATGTATATATACGATTCATTTGGTTTTCCTCCACAGATTTCACTCTTTCAGACTGCAAGTTTGGACCATAAAGCCTTTTTCTGGTACTGTTAAACGGATTTATATGGACCATGGCAATACCGAGCGTTTCAGGAATGTCGTCTTCTCTTTGTTTCGTGGCTTTTCAGTTTGTGGAACCGAGCACAACATGTCGATCTGTTTGACCAGCGCAAACCGGATAACGAATGAAAAAACATTGTGGGATTTATGAAGCGGCCAGAACAAAAGTATTTGACTGTTTTATTCAGTATTGATGCGTTTTAAGTCCAGGGGAAGACTTTCTTTAGTTGTTTATTATGTTCTTGGGTGAATTTCATGAATGCTTTCAAGAACTTGTCCAGGTCAAATTTCACTCCCAACCAAAAGAAAAAATATATTTTGCATAAAATATTAAAGGAATAGTTCACCAAAAACTGAAAATTAGCTGAAAATGTATTCACCCTCAAGCCATCAAAGATTAGGATGAGTTTGTTTCTTCATCAGATTTGGAGAAATGTAGCATTGCATCAGTGTCTCAGCAATGGATCCTCTGCAGTGAATGGGTGCCGTCAGAATGAGAGTCCAAACAGCTGATAAAAACATCACAATAATCCACAAGTAATCCACACCACTCCAGTCCACCAGTTAATGACTTGAGAAGTGAAAAGATGCATGTTTGTAAGAAACAAATCCATTATTAAGGCGTTTTAAACCGTTGCTTACAGCTGAAATACGAGTTTGGATTCTCATTCTGATGGCACCCATTCACTGCAGAGGATCCATTGCTGAGACACTGATGCAATGCTACATTTCTCCAAATCTGTTTTTTTAGGAGAACTATTCCTTAAACTATTTTTTGCCTTGTGACATCTTGTGACTATTAACTACAGTTTTGCTGTTTTGATACATAAAAACTAATTAATAAAAAGATAGTAAATTGCAATGTGTTCAGATATTGTGTTAGTATTTGTTAAATAGCTTTTAATTTATGAAAATTGTTTTACTGTATTACAGTAATAATAATCACCTTTTGAGAATATTTATTTTGGGAAAACACTTGTCATGAAAATATTTTCACACTTCAAAAAATGTTAGTGGTTTTGCTTTATGTGAAGTATTATCATCACTGTTGTTACTTTTTTTTTTTTTTTTGTCGAGTGAAATATGACCTGTGTGTTTGAGTGTCTTTATTATCGGCTGTTATAAGAAATGAAACTGTGTAAACACTAGATGAAAGTGTTGAATGTACTATATATACTGTATATGGCCCTTATTGTACATCTGATATCTGACTTCTAAAACTTTAAGTAGCTCAAATGGCTGCGTTTGAAATTAGAATATTTCTGCACCCTGGATGTATTTTGTGGACTGTATATATTAGTTTTAATGTGAAGCACTGACATCTGACAGTGCTTTTTCTTTTCTTTCCTTTAGCACAGTGTAACCAGTCGTGGATGAATTATTTGCTTTATTATGTTCATTATCTTCTACAGTGCCATTTTCTGAAGAATTAGTTTTGTTTTATTAGATTGTTTGTTTTTGTATTACATGCTGGGTAAGTTTTAATTTGATTAAAATTTAAGTTGATATTACAAACGATGAAAGCGAAATCCTGTTTTAACCACTAATACATACTTGTTGTAAAAGAAATGCTGGAATTATGTATAAAGCTTTCTTTTGTAATAAAAGTAAGATTTGAGAATAATTTTACACAAGCTGGACATTGTGAATCATACCTTTTAAAATAGTGTAATGTTTTCATGTAAATCAACTTCTGTCAAATATTGCTCATACTGCACACTACTTGTATTATTTCTGCAGAAATTTCACAGTGCATAGTATGCAAATTTTTGCTTCTAACTATATTTACCAGAATTTGAATACTGTATCCCAAAATGCAATGCACTTGACTTTCCATTTCAACTTTACAGTTAGTATCTGAATGTTGTCAAATTAACCAAATATTCAACATAAGTTAATATACTCAGAACTAAATATGCAAGGCAGTGTTTCTTTTGTTTTTGCAGCATTCATACTCCAATGTTAGTAAAGGAATAGTTCACCCAAAAATGAGAATTTGCTGAAAATGTGCTCACCCTCAGGCCATCCAAGATGTAAATGAGTTTGTTTCTTCATCAGATTTAGAGAAATGTAGCATTACATCACTTGCTCACCAATGGATCCTCTGCAGTGAATGGGTGCCGTCAGAATGAGTCCAAACAGCTGATAAAAACATCACAATAATCCACATGACTGCAGTCAATCAGTTAATGTCTTGTGAAGTGAAAAGCTGTGTTTGTAAGAAACAAATCCATCAAGATGTTTTTAACTTCAAACCGTTGCTTCAGGCTAAAATACGAGTTCATAATAAAGTCCATCCCCTGTTTTGAACTGTTTTCGCTGGTGCTTGATCTGTGTATATTTCTCTCCTGATTCAGACAAAGATGACTTTTTCACTAAATTGACTAGAATTGACTAAATTGATTTTGCCCGTGAAAATTCACTGAACAGCGAGCGGTGTAGGCTATCAAAAACATGTTCTGATAAAGTTTTGTTAACGTTCCCATTAAGTTAAGAAAACGTAAGTTCTAAATGTTCTCTGAAAGTTCAAAATGTCCAAACATGAATGGGAATGTCATTTTTTAATGTTCTCTGAACCATCTGAAACTATTAAGTCCAACTAACTAGAAAAACGTTCCATAAGCAACGTTTTTGTACTAAAGTTTTGAGAATGTTACTAAAGACCAACAACCCTATTGGCAAAGGGCATCTCAGGAACCACATTCTAGTGGTTTGAATCTTACCTCTCAGATAGGTCCTTCAAGCTGGATGAAGGACCATCAGCTTCAACTCAACCTTGCCTTGCCTTGTGGTTCCATCCAACCCATCGTTTCATCACAGTTTCACCAGACACATCAACCATGATTACTTCAAAAACAGCCAGAAACCTTGGAGTTGTGATTGATGATAAGCTGAATTTCTCAGACCACATTGCTAAAACTGCCCGGTCCTGCAGATTTGCTTTATTCAACTATAAGAAGATCAGGCCCTTTCTTTCGGAACATGCTTCACAACTCCTTGTTCAAGCTCTTGTTCTGTCCAGGCTGGACTATTGCAATGCTCTCTTGGCAGGTCTTCCAGCCACTTCTAACCAACCTCTACAATTAATCCAAAATGCCGCTGCAAGATTAATCTTTAATGAG